AGATTTGCTCGACGATAGGAGGGGATCTTTAAAATTCATCACACCACTGGACGTTTCATTTGGAAAAAGCACTAAATACCGGTTATCTATGACAATAGAAATCTTAACATCGTCTAATCTAAGAAACTGGAACAGTATATGCGCGAGAAATCCCAAATATTTATCTGTCTCTTCGACGAACACTTTTGCTCGCTATTTTGAAAGTCACTGACGCGAGACATGACGTCATACTGGCAGGATAGGAGGGCTGCATCACCGATTTCCATGGAGACAACCTTCCCCACCCTGTTTCTTTCTTACTTCGCACAAAAAGTAGGGGAAGGCCCTCCCCCTGCGCTTTCCCTGTCGGTGCTTGGTATTCGCATGTTCTTTTTTACGCAAGAAAAACGGTCTGACCCTTATGTGTGACACAAACAAAAAGGACGCTGTGGCCAAACATGAGGACGCTGTAGCCAAAAAGGGACATAGTCTTAGTCCAAACTATGCACAGTCTGTCCAATAGCAAGAGGCAGGGAGGGGATAATAATTGTGTGCCACATTAAGGTGTAACAAGTCTTTTAATGATGACACTTCATGGCTACTTACGTCACTTACTGTACTCTCAATGATTCATCATTGCCCATAATTGTAACACAATTGCAGCGATGAAAAACGGTTTGCTAATGAACAGAGAAAACAATCAATTCAATAGCTGATTTGAAAATGTCTTTCAAGTATCCTATCAGAAAAAAAAATCTGAGCACCTGCACATATTTTATTTTAACCGATAAACTGGAGAAATGGCGACACCTTTTAAGGCATATTGTTTATGCATCCAAATTTGTCAGGCTATTTATATTCCAGAGGTATAATTAAAGGGTGGAACGCATCGACGAATTGTGATAAAGTGTATAAGGCAGTCAGGTAACTGATATATATGTTCAGAACTTGAGACATGTTGTGGCAGAAATGTAAACATCAGCAAGTTTTAATCTTCTGCCACTTTGCTGCTGTTTGTAAGGCTGACAGTAGAAAAACAGATTCTGATGCAAATTTGTTGATGATATAAAAGAAACTCTGTTCACGTTTTACTCTTTTAGCTCTCAGAGACTGCAAATAGCACTTCTCGGTGAACCAACTGAACGCCGCCATCTCTGTTTTTTTTTAAAGATATTAGCAAATCAGGGTCCACGTTGAAAAGTTCCAATCAGCGAATCATTTTAATTCACTGTTTGCCTGGAGTTTCACCTGATGCCATTTTAAAACCGGGAAACCCCTGGAAATATTCGTCGCCTTAAAATCGCCATGGTCATAAGATGTAGAAAAAGTAGTCAATCATAACGGCTGTACCCACTTGGAGTTAGTATTAAACTATTGACCCTTGCCATCTTCCCCTAACACACAGCATGACAAGTAAACACGTAAATTTGAGACAAGTATTTTGCGGTCATTCTGCACTGATCTCAATATTTTCAAATTATGGAGGTAAGGAAAAAGGCGACTTAGCGCAAAATTCAAACAAAACAGTAAATTATGCCCTGCATTGGCGCCTCCGAAGAGTCTGAATGGGGGGGGAGGCATATGTCGGTTCAGTTAGAATTTTCGACCTTTCTTAGTTGACGGAAAATCTTACTTAATGATTAAAAGTGCATCTTATTTATTCATATTAGATATGTAATTCACACAGATTGCACCTAAACGTCGTAACAAAACTGGCTTTTTCAAGCAAAGTGATCGTTTATTTCCCCTTTGTTTGCAAATAGAATAACCAAGGTATTTAATCTACAGTGAATTTATTTTCCTGCCGATTTGTACAAGCATCGAAGTAATCAAGAAAGGCTATTTTCTATTTACTCAATTCAATTACACAGATAAGCAAAATAATACAATTAAAATCGAAGAAAACCAAATATTTAAAAGCGATATCTGCATAATTATGACAGTTTATGCAGAACATGAGGATTCCTTATAAGAATAAACTGCCTTGAATAAACAATAAAATATAAAAACTATATCCAAGAAAATTAAAATCCTAGATACAAATTCATCGGATTGGTATAATTGTCAGATGATTTATTGATGTGCTTATTAGATAGAATATAAAGTTAACTATGCTAAAAATAGTAGAAAACTATAAACAACTATAAAAATCTTTCCTTATTGGAATTAAATTTATCAATATGAAATTCATTATCTTTCTTACTAAACAAAGATAACTGTTTTCATTGTAATAGCAACGTGCTTACACTTTTTAAAGTTAAAGTTCATGAAGCGATCAGAACTCCAGCTATTTTGACTTGATAGGTCACTTTGTAATTGCCTTTCGTCAGAATAATCAGTTATAATTCTATAACATTTCATATAATCTCCATAGAACTGAACAGTAGTACTAGCGTCAGTAACACTTGGGGCATTATTTATATGGATGATAAAAAACAACGGCTCTAAAATGGACCCTTGCGGTACACCAGATAAAACAGTTTGCGAAGTAAAAGACTGTCCATCAATAACTGTCCTGTGCCATCAATCTGTCAAGTAGCTTCTAAAACAGAAGAGAAATTTCCCTCTTACACCAAAATATCTTAAAATACAAGATTTAGAGGCAAATGAAATCAAACTCGTTCCCAGGGTTCTCTCCTACTCGCCCTCCTAACCGCGGTGAAACGCACGAGCATGCGCAATGCACTCGTACCCGGTCCCGGGGAAATTTCCCGCGCGAAATTTTAATTGAAACCATGGCAGAAACCGGTGTCAGGCAAAACATAGTTGAGCGATCGTCAGAAATACGCTAAAGTTAAACGAAATACTTTAAAGTTATGGTTTTTGATTTAACAGTTGGTAGTTAGATAAATTTTCATTATTCTCCGAGTTCACTAAATTTTTTTGACCTTCACTAAAAAGGTTCTTTGTGTTAAAAGAGCCGACATGCGAAAGCTTGTCGTCGCCAATTGTTTACTGATTATCGCTGTTCCAATGCGTGATGAGTCCAGGAAGGGAGAAGCCAACACGAAGAGAAAAATGTACTCAAAAACAGCTCCGGGCTGTTGATTAAGTCTTATCGAGGGAAGCAGGGGTATCTGCTGAAGGATCATGGCCTTGCCTGAGGCGTAGAAACGCGATACTTGCCGAGGACAAACGCTGCTCCTGTCCATCTTCGTGGGGACACAGTAAAATGCATCTGAAATTCCAGTCCTCGGGAGACTGTATGCAGTATTTGACGATGTGGGCAAGAACAACCTGACAACGTTACTAACTACAAACCTCGGACAAAATGGTGCAATAATTATGCAGAAGCCAGGCAGTTAATAAATCTCTTCACTTAAAAGCAAAAGAAATAGACATTAGAAAATATTGTAAACCACACTTCATTAAAATTTTGTTCTCAGCAATTTGAATTCACTGTCCTCTCATTTTAAGTAATATTTTATAAACAGATGAACAACCTACAGAAATATTTTTTTCTCGGTTAATGGTTTTTTTCAGTTTTTCTCTCAACTCCTCTCCCCTCCCCGTGACATATTTCCTTGCTTGCCTATTGAGTACCTGATCAGGAGAGCCAAGGCTTTCAACATTTTGCTATAAATGCAGTGTGCTTTGCATTATAATGATGAGCTCGTCAGAAGCAATTAACTACAAGTGATCTTCTAAAAACTGGTTGGGGTCTTCCCTGTTTTCAGTTGTCAAAAGAAGAAATGGAAGCAAGGGGTGTACACTCTGCGATTGAAACAGAAGAGAAAAAAAGAACAGAATTAAACTTTTTCACTTAGGCCATAATAATGCACCTTGTCTAAGCCAGAGATGATCAAAGATCAAGAAAGAAGACTTAAAGAGAAAACAGGAAAAAAATAATAAACATGTAACAAATCCTTGAGAAGATAGTTGCCCAGCTCCAAATGATGGCTGGTCAGCTAGACCACTTGGCTAACAGGGTTTTCTAAAAGACAGTCTGAAATAGTGTAAGAAAGAAGACAGAATTGCAAATAAAATTGAGTGGAGCCTTTATTTGTCTTTTCAGTTAAATTAGGTCTCCTTTATGCACATCATTTTCATTCTTTCCTCTCATTTTGCATCCTTTTCTCATCTATCTGCTTCTCCTTCATGGTCCAAATACCTACGCAATTCTTCGCGCATGCTCAGAAGTTTGACCGCGGTGTGCTCGCCCTCTCTCTCTCCGTAGGGCAGGTAGCAGAGAACCCTAGGGACGAGATTGAAATGAGATTTTATTTCGGGTGTCTTCTTACGAGAACTTAAAAACAAAGCTAAAATCTAACCCGTAAACCGTGGAAGTGTCCACGGCCGCTCACGGGAATGTAAAAATACAGAGTCAGTGTATGAGAGTTGAAACAGGATTTTGGGAAGGCGGCCGTAAGTAGAAGCCAGCTGTCCGCTTACGCGAGTGTCCGTTAAAAGAGCTCTCACTGTAAATGTAAGTTCGAACTGCTTTACTTCTACTTCAGTCAATTATTGAATCAAATCGTTTTTCATGACCATGATGGTAACATCGATTTTAACCGAAACTGAGTGATCCCAAACGTCAATCCGAAAGGAGGAGAATGGGGACCGTACGACAGAGTGGAAGCCACGATTATCTATAATTCGAGATCAGTTGCTGACTATTAACAAGAATGACATTTGTGAAATCCGGATTGGTGGTTGAAGATCAAATCTTTTCCATTTCATCAAATATAACTTCAGATAGACGCGACTAAGAGCATGCACTGAAATGGGGAATTAACAACCTGCTATCAGTACAACCTTGATTTTCTTTAATATCAGCGTTAACCTAATGATGTTTCCTGCAGTTGCGTATTACAAATACTGACGATCCCCGTTAACGCAGAAACTAAGGGAACCAGGAAGGTTGATTATAAACCACAAAGTTTTTTGTACGTACCTTCCTAAACAGTCAAGCTCAGAACAGTATTTACAAATGACGTGTTGAAAACTTACACACATTCATAACTGACACCATTCAGGCCCCTTTAACACAATAGAATGGTTTTCTCCATGCTGTTTTGTGTTACACCAAGTTGCCTGTAGCTGTCAGCAGTTCTTTTATGTTCTTCTCCAAACACTGTAATCCGGATAGCAAGTGCACGCTGATGAGATTGAAGAGCTGAAGTGTAGTCCTGCATTTGATGTTGTGTTACACCGAGGTTGAAGTAGCTGTCCGCAGTGCATTCATGTTCTGCTCCAAACACTTTGATACGGATAGCCAATGCACGCTGATGAGATTGCAGAGCTGAGGTGTAGTCATGCATTACGTATTGTGTTACACCGAGTTCCCTGTAGCTGTCAGCAGTTCTTTCATGTTCTTCTCCAAACACTTTAACACAGATAGCCAATGCACGCTGATGAGATTGGAGAGCTGAGGCGTAGTCATGCATTGTGTATTGTGTTACACCGAGTTCCCTGTAGCTGTCAGCAATTCTTTCATGTTCTTCTCCACAAACTTTTATACGGATAGCCAATGCACGCTGATGAGATTGGAGAGCTGAGGTGTAGTCGTCCATCGCGCATTGTGTTACACCGAGTTGCGTGTAGCTGTCAGCAGTTCTTTCATGTTCTTCTCCAAACAGTTTAATACAGATAGCCAATGCACGCTGATGAGATTCGAGAGCTAAGGCGTAGTCATGCATTTGGTGTTGTGTTACAGCGAGGTTAAAGTAGCTGTCAGCCGTACTTTCATATTCTTCTCCGAGCAGTTTAATACGGATAGCCAATGCACGCTGATGAGATTGAAGAGCTGAGGCGTAGTCATGCATTACGTATTGTGTTACACCGAGTTCCCTGTAGCTGTCAGCAGTTCTTTCATGTTCTTCTCCAAACACTTTAATACGGATAGCCAATGCACGCTGATGAGATTGGAGAGCTGAGGTGTAGTCACGAATTTTGTATTTTGTTGTACCTACGTTAAAGTAGAAGTCAGCAGTGCTTTCATGATCTGCTCCAAAAACTTTAATACGGAAAGCCAATGCACGCTGATGAGATTGGAGAGCTGAGGTGTAGTCATGCATTGCGTACTGTGTTACACCGAGTTCCCTGTGGCTGTCAGCAGTAATTTCATGTTCTTCTCCAAACACTTTAATACGGATAGCCAATGCACGCTGATGAGATTGGAGAGCTGAGGTGTAGTGATGCATTGCGTATTGTGTTACACCGAGTTCCCTGTAGCTGTCAGCAGTTCTTTCATGTTCTTCTCCAAACACTTTAGTATGGATAGCAATTGCACACTGATGAGATTGGAGAGCTGAGGTGTAGTCGTCCATTGCGCAGTGTGTTACACCGAGTTGCCTGTAGCTGTCAGCAGTTCTTTCATGTTCTTCTCCAAACACTTTAATACGGATAGCCAATGCACGCTGATGAGATTGGAGAGCTGAGGTGTAGTCGTCCATTGCGTATTGTGTTACACCGAGTTGCGTGTAGCTGTCAGCAGTTCTTTCATGTTCTTCTCCAAACACTTTAGTATGGATAGCAATTGCACACTGATGAGATTGGAGAGCTGAGGTGTAGTCGTCCATTGCGCAGTGTGTTACACCGAGTTGCCTGTAGCTGTCAGCAGTTCTTTCATGTTCTTCTCCAAACACTTTAGTATGGATAGCAATTGCACACTGATGAGATTGGAGAGCTGAGGTGTAGTCATGCATTTCGTGTTGTGTTACACCGAGTTGCATGTAGCTGTCAGCAGTTCTTTCATGTTCTTCTCCAAACACTGTAATACGGATAGCCAATGCACGCTGTTGAGATTGGAGAGCTGAGGTGTAGTCATGCATTTGATGTTGTGTTACACCGAGGTTGAAGTAGCTGTCCGCAGTGCTTTCATGTTCTGCTCCAAACACTTTGATACGGATAGCCAATGCACGCTGATGAGATTGGAGAGCTGAGGTGTAGTCATGCATTTCGTGTTGTGTTACACCGAGTTGCTTGTAGCTGTCAGCAGTTCTTTCATGTTCTGCTCCAAACAGTTTAATACGGATAGCCAATGCACGCTGATGAGATTGGAGAGCTGAGGTGTAGTCATGCATTGCGTATTGTGTCACACCGAGTTCCCTATAGGTGTCAGCAGTTTTTTCATGTTCTGCTCCAAAAACTTTAATACGGATAGCCAATGCACGCTGATAAGATTGGAGACCTGAGGTGTAGTCATTCATTGCGTATTGTATTACACCAAGTTCCGAGTAGCTGTCAGCAGTTTTTTCATGTTCTGCTCCAAACACTTTAATACGGATAGCCAATGCACGCTGATCAGATTGGAGAGCTGAGGTGTAGTCATGCATTGCGTATTGTGTTACACCAAGTTCCGTGTAGCTGTCAGCAGTTCTTTCATGTTCTGCTCCAAACACGTTAACACAGATAGCCAATGCACGCTGATGAGATTGGAGAGCTGAGGTGTAGTCATGCATTGCGTAGTGTGTTACACCGAGTTCCCTGTAGCTATCAGCAGTTCTTTCATGTTCTACTCCAAACACGTTAATACGGATAGCCAATGCACTCTGATGAGATTGGAGAGCTGAGGTGTAGTCATACATTGCGTATTGTGTTACACCGAGTTCCTTGTAGCTGTCAGCAGTTCTTTTATGTTTTTCTCCAAACATTTTAAAACGGATAGCCAATGCACGCTGATGAGATTGGAGAGCTGAGGTTTAGTGATGCATTGAGTATTGTGTGATACCGAGTTGCATGTAGCTGTCAGCAGTTCTTTCATGTTCTTCTCCAAACACTGTAATACGGGTAGCCAATGCACGCTGATACGATTGGAGAGCTGAGGTGTAGTCATGCATTGCGTATTGTGTTACTCCGAGTTCCTTGTAGCTGTCAGCAGTTCTTTCATGTTCTGCTCCAAACACTTTAATACGGATAGCCAATGAACGCTGATGAGATTGGAGAGCTGAGGTGTAGTCATGCATTGCGTATTGTGTTACACCGAGTTCCCTGTAGGTGTCAGCAGTTTTTTCATGTTCTTCTCCACACACTTTAATACGGATAGCCAATGCACGCTGATGAGATTTCAGAGCTGAGGTGTAGTCATGCATTGCGTATTGTGTTGCACCGAGGTTAAAGTAGCAGTCAGCAGTGTTTTCATGTTCTTTTCCAAACACATTAATAAGAATAGCCAAAGCACGCTGATAAGATTGGAGAGCTGAAGTGTAGTCTTGCATTTCGTGTTGTGTTAAACCGACGCTGACGTAGCTGTCAGCAGTGCTTTCATGTTCTTCTCCAAACTGTTTAGTGCGGATAGCCAGTGCACGTTGATGAGATTGAAGAGCTGAGCTGTAGTCGCGCATTTCGTGTTGGGTGAAACCGATTTGCCAAAAGCTTGCAGCACTGCTTTCTTGTTCTTCTCCTAAAAGTCTTAGTGATATCTCGAGTGCTTGCTGGTTTGCTTTAAGTGCTTCTGGATAGCTTTTTCTGTTTATGAAAACTCTACCTAAGCCTAACAAACCCCTTGCATGTGCTTCATTTTGTAAATGAGTAACATCGTTAATATCGTCTTTGTTTGGGGAACTTTCTTTGTATTGCGTCAGGGCTGTTTGATAGTATTTTATTCCGGACGTGTAGAGTGTTTGAGGGTCTTCACTACTTGAAAGCCACAATAACTGTGTCGCAACGTTCTGAAAAGTGAGCAATCCGAGACTAATTTGAGCCTCTCTTTCGATATTCTCTATGATTTGGAGAAGCGAATTGCTTAAACATTGCTTGGTGTCAGCATCGGCAAAAGTCTTTGTTGCTTCGCTTAATAGAAAGGTAATTTCACATTTCAGTGGTTGACTAAGCAAGATGTCCGAGTGTTGTTGAAGTTTTACTTCACTGATAGATTCTTTACTTTCGTTTTTCATTGACGGTATAATAAGCAGTTGCAAATCCCTCATTACGCTACATTGGTGGAGTGCTTTGTCACAAAAGGCACTTGCACTGGAGAGGTCGTTAAGGGACTGATAATAAACAGCAAGTATCTGAAAAATAACCATCTCCAGAATTCGTTTTTCTGCGTCTTTACAATTTTCAAGTGATAATAGCGCCTCTTTTAAGAACCACACTCCATTCTTCGTTTTATCTGTAATAAAGTGATAGATTCCCATATAGCAGAAGTATTTTCCCTTTTCCAGGTTAGGAACAAAGGAAGCTGCAGCTTGAAGGTCGTTCACTTTTGAGAGAAGGTGTCTCGTTTTTCCTTTCAGTCCCCAGGTCACCTCAACGAAAGCTCTGGAGGAAAGTAGTTGTCTGTAGTATGTGCCTTCCTTTTGCTGTTTGGCTGCCTTTATGGCTGTGTCGTATATGTGAATAAAGTTTTTTGCTTCATTGAAAAAGAGCGAGGCAAGAAATATCTCTCCTTTCACCAGTACATCATAAACGCTGTCAGCTCTGTCGGCATCTAAACAGCTCTTTACTACACTTTCAATGATGATCTTCTTATTTTCATAAAATTCAATATATGCTGCCATTGAGTTCCCGGTAAGAAATTGTTCATTAAGCTTCTCAAGAAGGGAAACGTAGAACGCGTTCAAACGACTCTTTGAGGTCAGAAACGTTAATGTCATCTCTTTTTCTCCTTTTTCTCTTGCAAATGATTGCAGGAGCCTGTGCATTGTAAAAGATCCCGGTTTAGAGCTTGAATCAATGAAAGACTTTCTTCGAAGGCTTCCTAATATCTTCCTGGCTTCCATAGACCCTGTGTCACTTAAAACGGCTGCAGCTACTTCTGTACTGAAACTCTCAGGAAGAATGCTTAAGGATATAAGTGCATCTTTTTCTTGCATGGTGAGTTTCTTGAAAGAAGAATCAAACAAGAACTGTATTCGGTGACGAGTTGGGTAATCTGGATTGTTTAACATTTCGATGATACGGTTTTCTGTGGAGGACATCATGAGGTCATCTATAATCTGGCGTGGTTGAGCAGTATCTTCAGATATCAAAGAACACATTAATTTTATGGCTAAAGGAACCTGTCCGCAGATTTGTGCGATTTTTGTACAGTCTGCAGTGCTTGCATTTGGAAGCAACTCAGAAACTATGGTATTAGCTGAGGCTTTATCTAATGGCCTTATTCTTAAACCCTTATGACCTTGAAAATGCAGGTCCATAAACTCAAGAGACTCTCTTGTGGTCACGACGAAAGTCACCATTTGATTTTGCCTTAGAATCTCCTCGAGAAGTTGCATGACCTCTTCCTTTGCGTTCGGCGAACCGCTTTCTAACCAATCATCGAAGTTATCAAGGATAAACGCAGACGGATTTGAAACACTGCTGAAAAGTTGCCAGACCTCTTCATCGATGGATAGACACTGACCAGAAGGTTGTTTTATTGTGGTAGGTTGCCTCAGAAGGCTAAGAAATTTTGAAGCCAAATCTGCTTTCGAACGAACTTCTCTTAGAGAGACCCAATACACAGGCATTCCCTGAGACTGGAGGGCATGTCCAACCGCAATCGCAACCGACGTTTTTCCAAATCCAGGTGTACCCCAAATTGACACCAGTCGGATAGACTCGGAGGACACGTGTCCGATGATCTCTTCACACTCGCTCTGGCGCCCAGTAAAATTAGGAACCACTGAGGGAAGGGAAGCTCCAAGGAGCGATGACCTCACATCTTTAAAAAAACGAAAGTAGACTGACCAATCAGAAGATAAGTGCAAATATCTAAACAAATAAACAAATCGACTTGGATTAAAGATCAATCTAGAATCTATCACCGTTAGAAATGTCTTTTTTGGAAGAAAGAAAAACATAATCCATAAGCTAAGTGATGAAGACTTAAACAAAGGTGCGTAACTGGCTGGAATGAGCTATAGGCTGCCAGCATCCTTGGCATCCATTTCTGATCCCAGAACCGTCTGCGAAGGAGGCTATTCCCTTTTTGGTAGTTTACTTTCCCCAGTCCTGCTAAGCCTCGACTCTACCGGCTTACAGTCTTGATTAGCGCGCGCAAGTACTCTTTTGTCTTAAGTACTGAAAAGCGTGACAAACGAAGCACTCGAATCTTAAAACGTAGCACTTAAGCGCACTTATATCACCAGCTGCGCAGGCTAGGAACCACTTCTTTTCAAATAAATAAATGACAAGTGTGTCTGATCAAGTTTTAATCCCTATTGATAATCAAAATATTTCCTTTTACATAACACTACGCTCATAACATTTTAAGTACAATTATTGTGGCATTTAACCGCGGTAGGACCAGTTCAGTCGGTAGAGCGCTTGACTGCAGAGCGACAGGTCGCAAGTTCGATCTCCAGGGCCGGGCAGGTCTGACTCGGGGGCTTAAAATAACAGAGAAATGCCGCCCTTGCCCTGAAAATGGTTAGACCTTTGCGTGGAAGTTGTTAGACGAGCCTGCATAGCAGGCGCTTGTAATTAGTAATATGAGCGCAAGAGAGAAGGCGCCCCTTTCTTTCTCTTGCCCATATTACTTACAAGCGCCGGCTAGACAGGTTATCGTTACACGATGTGGCTCAACTTTTACCGCTATCGTTTCAGTCCGTCATTTCATACCTGAATTTCCAGCTCGTGCATCACGTTCATCTTGTCCTGATTTCAACTCATTTATCCTTTCCTCCAACCTGGCAATAACTCCACTGCTGGCAGTGTTCTCCACGCACATCTGCTTTAAAACATTGATATCTGAACTTGCACCCTCCAGAATCGTGGCGTACTCTGCTTGTGCTCCTGTAGCAATATGTTCGGAGTCTTTCTTCTTTGCCTCTTTTATAGAGTGCAATATCGCTTTTATCTCACTGATATCTAAACTCACTTCCTCTAGAAATTTAATGTACGCTCGAGTCTCGTCTATTAGTCCCATTTCCAATCTGCGAACCTCATTTGTGGGAAAGTCGGACTCCTTCAAAGTACCAACAGCGTCGATTTGGGCTGTCGAGACACCAAGGGCTTTAAACGCATCTTTGGCGTATTTCACGCGCTGGTCAAAGCTCAGTTTGTCCATCTCAGAACTTGTTGAGTGACACAATGAATTCCTAAGAAGACGAAGCTGATCTATGGCAAGTGCAAAGGTCTCTGGATTGTTTCCACCCGGGCTGAGCACACAAGCGTGGAAACAACCATGAGGTAGCGCACGGGGTTTCACGTACAAATCACTGAGTTTGGTGACGGAGCCTGTGCTGGCTGATGAGGCAAAAGACTGCGCAAATATTGTAGCCTGGAACAGGTTGGTGCAATCCCAGTCATTGTAAGACTGGTGAATAGGAACTTTAGTCCTGCCGCCATCTGTAGTGGCAAACAAATTTCTCACAGCAGTTGAATCGTCCCAGAGCTGGAAACCAGGGCGACCTCCATAGGTGTTGTCCCACATGGTTTTAAAGGTCTGCCGCAATGCTTTTGGAAATTCATTTAATACTAACGAGGAGAACTTAAAGAAATTCAGTTGCTCGTCACTAAACGGCTGCAATGTCATCTCTGGCCGTCGGTATCGAAACCCGTCAATGGGTGAACTGAAATGTGGTAAAATAATATGGAAACCATTTTAGTGGACAAATTGTAGCAGCTATTTTCGCCTGAAATAAATGGCGGTGCATACAAGTGTCAATAGGAGAAAAAAAATTTATTATTAGTGAGCTCCATACTCGTAACTAAAACGTTTTCGATTACCAGACGGGATGAGCATGAAGATGGTTAAAACACCACACTAGAACCTCTTTTCCTTCAATAGATCCACAAAATTCTTACAATATATTAGGGAATAGGGGAAGGTGCAGTGGTCTGGAGAGAGCATTTCAATTCCCTGCGTCGACGCAATATGTGGGTTTTTTCTCCGGGTTCTCCCGTGTTTCGTTCTCCTCAAAAGCCAATATTTTCAAATTCTAATTTGACCAGGAAAGGTAGACGAAAAACCTTCACTTTTTGGATGTGCTACCGCTAAATCATTATTTATTTTATTAACTCTGTAGTATTCATCTTCCATTTTATACGCAGCGTTCAGTTTATCGATTTAATTGTCCACTTTTTATAACATTCAACAATTTTTCGAAAGAAATGTCATAACATCAAGATTGGTGATATGAACAGAATGTGTCTCATGACTGATAAATGAATTCAAATAACCGCTTGTTGTATTGCCTGACCGGCGTTTTTTTTTTTCTGTATGGACCAACCTCGGTCAGAAGCTTTCTTCAAAATAAGGGCATATTTGTGCATTCATTTCGTAAAACACAGCAAAGGAGGTTCACTTAACAAATGTCAAGTTATAGACGTGAATCTGGCGAGGAAAGTCTCTACATTACGCAGCATATGTATCAACGGTGCACTTATGGCTTTCCACTGTGAAAAAAATGGACATTCTACAGTAAAAGTAATAATTGTATATGTTCTTTAACCGCCAAAAATTGTCATGAAAAGCTAGATTTTTTAGACGGGAACTGAGAAAACTTACCCAAATTCAGCAAACTCCGTTGACTTCGCCTCTCTGGTCAGGATACGATTATGAAGGCCGGTAAATTCTGACAGTGTATAAAATGATACTTGCGAAATGGCTCCTATGAACGACAACAATGAAGAAGATTTCTTAAACAGGTAAAGAAAACGGCTCACTCGATGGCTTCAAGGCCTATTAAATGACGTCAGTGTGTCGACAACCAACGCCCACCATTAGGTGAGTAACGATGTTATATCCAGACTCCGGCATTCGTCTCCTGACCCTGATATGTGGATCGGTTTTGCGATGTCAAACGAAAAGTTTCGTGATTTTTTTGTGATCATGCTAGGTGAACAACTTTACAGCGTCTGATTAGTGCAAGAATTCTTTACCAACATTCGATAGGCCTAGGTGTTCTATCGCTTAAAGTAAACTGAAAATGTTTCGTTAAGATATACATCATAACTTATCCCGCCAGATACCAGATTTGTAACTACTCAGCTCGTTTAGTTTTTTGCCTGATCTATTTTAATGTGTTCTGTTTTTTCTAAACGTTTTTTAAGTTGGCAAATGAAACGGTTAGTTGTTGTTGTTATTGTCTACTCCATTCCCAGTCGTTAAGCCTTCGTCAAAGATGATAAATCTGCTGCGGACACTTACCTGGCAATGACAAAAAGATCTGTTCCAATCAAATCTGAGTTGTTGGCGACTGAAATGAAGGTGTTTGATACACGTGGACGTTAGTGAGCTCAGAATAATGTTGAAAATGGTCCACGTCTCCTTATTTACGTTATTCTCAATTCCTGAAAAAGAAATTTTTTCCTTTTTCTTATTTCAACCCAGACTCACTGCCTCTTTCTTCAACATGCACGGTTAGTTGTGAACCGTTGTATAGGTCTTTGTCATTTTGTTAAGCATTCTAGGATATCTTGTACAAGGAACTATTGACATTAGTGCAACGTTTTTTAATCTCTCCCATGCATAAACTCTACAATGATCAAGTCACTCTCGCTTGGAGTACAATAAAAACCCGCTTATAAGATCCTCGATTTTAAGAACCTGTTAGGATAAGATTGTCCATTTGGACCCCTTTTAAGTAAGAACCTGTTTTAGCCTACAATTTGAAACAGGTGATTATTTTGAAAAATTCAGTCAAACACTAAATACACAAATTTAATAGAACAAGCTCTACAGCTAGTAAAATGAAGATAAGACCCTGGCACTGAGACAATTGACGTGTAGATCTATATATCCTTCGTAAATGGCTTTAACATACTTGGATTAAAGAGATTTTTATAAAATATTATGCATGTAATACCAAAAATAGGCCCAAAATAGGTCACACCCACAAAAGAAAAACACCTTCTTTATTTTTAAAAATAAGAACCTGTTTAAGAACCAGAGTAGCTTAATTTTCCGGTAAGCACCATTTCTATATCAAAGAACCTTCATAGCCTAGCTTGGAAAAACTTAGGTTCTTATTCGTGGGTTTTTACTGTATAGGGCTACAAGCCTTGCTTATTACATCGGCTCCAGCGTCTCTTAACACAAACAAGCCTGTTTATGCATTTTATGGTACATTGATGTTATCATAAACATCTTTTCAATTTTCTTATAAACACCTGGTTTCTGGTAAGGTTTTCTATCACACGGCACAGTCAAAGAAATATTTATTACACAACCTTTCATTGATTGCAAGTTGGTGGACGTTACCTTACGCCCTGTTGATCTGCCCGTATTCTATTTGCCTCAAGTCAGAAGACTTGATCACCATTATGAAAGTTTTGTAGTTTTGGAACTACTTTTTGAGGTTCTAGCGACCTCGAGCAATTTTTTGCTTTTCTGAGTAATTTTTGAGCAAAATATAAGTTTAGAGAAAATATCAAGCACGAAAGAGTCAACGATTTCAAGGAAACAATTCACTTATGCGAATTTCTTCAGAGCGTTAAGACAGGAGGGTCTTCTAAAGGGGTTTAAGGATTGGGTCAAAGGTGTGTTCTGAGGATATCAAATCAAATCAAATCAAATCAAATCCTTTATTTAAACAGGTAACGCCCAGGAGCACTAAAGTTCTCGTTAAAACGTGTACGTGTGAATGATTGGCAATTTCCCTCGCTAGGAGAAAAAGAAAATCTTGAGGTTTTCATGTGCCTTAACGTTTCATTATGCATCGCCAGAAATTTCGAATCGACATGCGCAGTGAGAGGTGACACTCAGAAAATATCAATGCAATTTTCATTACAGAGAAATGACTGAGAAAATTTTCGGTTTTTAACTTTGAGAACACGGTAAATTTCAGTATGGATCGGACTCCACGGCAAAATTTCCTGATATTCGCTTTTCAATATCTCAGCGAAAAATCGTCCAAATTTCAAGCAAAACCTCTCGCTCGAGAGATTTCTGACGAATGAGCCCGCAAAGAAGGCAGAAACAAATATTTTGACGGCACGAGATACAACAGGGCCTGGGTACTACGCCGGGGCACCATGGGTAGCCATACCAGGGGTATATAAGGCTGTGTATATCATGTGTACGTCATCTAGGCTTACGAACCAACCTCTCTTTGGTTTTCCTTAAATTTTTTTATTTATTTAATTTTCAGGAGCAATCCATTCTCGATTACATTGTAAAGTCGCGTAGGAAGGGCTTTGAGCTTGAGCCTTGGTTCCTACCCAGATTTCCTGCCCGCAGTTTTTCCCTTCGGGGTTTTTTTGGGTAGGTTTTTTCTGGCCTCCGTCCGACCGCATTTATTTCAGTCAGTGTAAGTAGTTAGGCTGGGGAAACTTAATAAAACCCTGACCAACGGATAACTGGGACAAGGAACACTTCAGGAGCACAGAGGCTGAGCACCGGGAAAACTGGGAACAATCTTCAGTAATGTACCCAACAAGGCACGTAGCCCAATTACCATTAAGGCTGCCAGAAAAGGCTAGGGCGGGACATTGAGTGTAAAAAAATGGACAACGACCCTGGCTAGAGGTCTGTAACATTGCCTGCAATCTAACTGCGTCAAACGAGACTTATGTCGCCTCCTTAAGAGCGGTTCCTGGAAAGCTGACCTTGGCATACAAGAAATATGTTAAGTAAAGGAGGGTGCAAAACTGTGATAACTGTACAAGGTACATAGAATAAGAAACGGGAAAAAAGCTGAAAACTAGCAGAGCTGAGCTACCAGGCAGCCTAACTGACACTAAGCCTGTGTGCTTTTGGGGGGGATTCAGGTCGAGATCAACCGGTTGTAGCAGTTCTTTCTTTTTACTTAGCCTCTGTGCTCCTTACAGTGTTGCCTGTGCCAGTTATCCGTTGTCAGAGTTTTATTTCGCCAGCCTAACTGGTGGCCTAATGGCACTAATCCTGCGTGCTTAACTGGAAGATTCGAGATTCATTATAAGAGAAATGGCCGTTTTGACACTAAAGACGGATTTTTCGTGTGAGACGGGTTTTCCGTTTGATTATTAGAATCAGATAAGTAATACTTCTTAATTTGAAAATGGAATAGTTTTAATTTTGAATGAACAATCCGGTTGACTTTATCCGTCAATTTCGACGGACAGTTTGAAGGCGGGATTATCCGTTCCCGATAGCCCGTGTACGACCGCCCCCTCCCCTCAGAAAAAATCGGAGGTGTCTGTGGGGAGGGCGCGACTGTACACAGGCTAGTCTCGAGACGGATAATCCATTTATAGCTCTAGCGTGAAAACGGCCAATAACAGAATTCCCGTGTCCAGTGTTTTTAATGATAACGAAGGACTGTACGGAAGGACTGTCTGCCGTTGCCTTGTCGGTAGGCCTCAATTTTCCGCGCGGCTAATGCGTTTCGGGTCACGTGGTCCTAGCGAGTTCCCCACCGAAAAGCCTTGACTGAGATTGCGTGGGAAGACGCCGTACAGGGAATAGGCATGGCAATGTCTACCGTAGCGTCAGAGAAAAACAGGGAAATGTTGTTTATCGGCAACGTGTTTTACAAACAGTGACATCTCTGCGTGTTGTTTCACTAGTGCTTCGAGGGCACTACCTCCTGAAAATCACAAATATTAATCCCC